CACCACCTCGAAGTGGCCCATGTCTTAGCATAAAATTAACCAATGAGGGCAGTTGGATTAACACATTTCGTTACGTGTGATTTCGTTCTAATTTATACATTTGAAAATGAAAACATTTCTTCTTTACAGAAAAAAAAATTCTTACTTACGTTTCTTTTCCTAAAGCAAAAGATGTTTACACGCATGGTCTTCCTTAGTGAAAATTGCCAATGGTTTAAAATTCTAACAACGTTACTTTGCCCGAAATTTTACAAACTTCAAATAACACTGTACTTAATCGTTGTTTATATAGGGGGTTATGAGAGTGCGTGTGAGTAAAGTGGGAATGAAACAACATACCATTTTAAGTAATATTATCTTCATTATAAAATTAAGCGTGTCATTTTGAATGACTAAGTAAATATTTTATCACAGTTATAAGTTTGTCTTTGTAATACACCCCTGAGGATGATCTCGAGGGACATCGAAAATACTTAGGTAGGAAACAGCTACGGCGGATTCCTTGATGAATTTCATCTTAACATCAAGAAACTGATTAGAGAACTGGAAAGAACCATTATAAAAATAAATACACAAAACCATGCAACGAAACTTGCTTGAGGTGGAGTAATGGACAGCGGCAGCTTGTTGGATTGGCCGGGTTCGAGGGAGCCGAGATTGAAAGGCTCACCAAACTAGCCTTCGTCATGGGGTTCCTTGATACGATTTCCATTGAACTCCGACAGGCACCGAATGTTGAAGTTCTGACTGTCAGGTAGTCATTCGGCGGACTGCGTGTAATGACGTACGGATTGACAGACGGACAAAGAGGAGGTCGAAGTAGGCGCGGCTGAGATGGTGTCTGTTTCACTACTGCCCAGTGTAAAAGAAAGGGAGTCATGCAATTCATTTCCTTGAGGCGACCGAAGAAGAAAAAAAAAATTGCTGGCGAGCGACGCACTACACTTTTTGTTCCCCCCCTCATCATCATTTTTTTTTCTCCTACAACCTTACCATAATACATTAATTTGGGACAAATATATAGTTCCAACAGAATATTGTTAATTGTAAACAGTGTTTATCTGTATTTCTGAAATCGGGTGTTGTCCTTCCTGGGTATGACGATAAACTACATCCGCGTCCTGGGTTAGATATTAAACTACATCCGACAGCAAGGCCTTTGATCAGGAGGTTTTGAGGAGCGTGGAACCACCTCTTAATTGCTGGTGTTCCCAGGTCCACCCTGACCCCGGGGTGGTAGCACCTGTTAGGGTCCAAACTATGGGCAAATAATTAAACCCCAAAATGGGGTTAAAACACTATGAAAGTGTAAAATAGGTTTTAGTACCAGCCATAATTTTTTGTAAAAAATTATTACTAGCAATGAATTTTGAAGAAAAAATTATTACCAACAATACATTTTTGAAAAAAAATATTACCAGCAATAAAAATCTTGTCGGCATAAAGTAACCCATTGAGATTGATATACCGTAAAACAAATCAAACCAAACCAATTGGGTTTTGCATTTACATTATTCGGAATGTTGTCCTTATCTTTATTGTTATATTCGACGTTTCGGTCGTTGTAAACGCCGATCTTCTTCACGTGATATGCGCTGGAATTTTGAACTAAACCCATGAATTAGTTCCCGGGTGCAGATTGTACTAGTTCCACGTGCCATGCCTTTTCTGGATATCTCAGTTTCACTAACTCAATTCTTCAATTTTTGTTCAGCTATGCTGTAGCCTGGTATTGAACTCACAACGCTTTGGGTCAAGTCACTTTTTGGATTACTTCAATCAACCGTTTTATCCACTGGGGACATCAGTGAGTGAATTTTTGGAACTTATAAGACTAATATCTCAGCAACCATTTTTACCTGCGCTCATATTATAATTTTTGTTATCGTTGTGTTTTTCTCTAGCTCTCTATATTACTGGTTCCTATATATATGTCATTTTATACTATCGTTCAGCCAATAGAAGGCGTAAGAGCCACACAAGGTAGAGCCTTATAGAATGTAGTTGTTCTAAAGGAGTAAAAGGAGGAAGTAAGAAGTGCATATTATGAAGCTGCGGTGGACAGATTACGGTTGACTCTAGACTTGAAGAGGTTACGATAGCAGTGATCGGAGATGTAACATTCGGGAATCCCTTCCACAGCCCTCGAGGAATTAGCTCTCCGAGGGGAACTTACTCTTTACCAAAGGAATGCGAAGGGAACGATGCTACGAATATAGGAGGTCCATTCGAGGTCTGGAGGGAACTTTAAAACCAGCAGACGTTTGAGTTAAGGAGCCTCATTTAGAGTACGACCAGCTCACTGTAATGATCGAGGAAGCATCTTTCGGAATCCGTTCCCCACATAAACAGCTCAGCGGCGAAGAAGCTCTCTGAGTGGAAAATTACTTCCTTACCAAATGAATGCGAATGGAATGTGCATGAGGCGACTCTGTGTACCAATCATGGCGGTCCGGTTCAATCATTAGCAACAAATTGTCTGTGGGAAAGGTGTTGTTCTTTGAACTCTCACAGCTTATAAAATAAGAGGGGGGAATTTTTATGGACTGTAGGAGGGAAAATAGTTTATCCACCACAAGGCCGCCTAAATGATTTTGAAATTCTGTCATGGTAGAAAAGTGAGGATTGGCCAGCTACAAGATATGCTTCTAAGTGTTCCAGTTATTTTATATACGAAGGTGTAAATTGTCTCTTACTGGATATTGTCCTTCTCATTTCCTCTTTCCCATTCGACTTTTACACAAGTTTGTCACGATGCAATAATTAAATTCCTATTACTTGGCCCGTCCTGAGTATGACAATAAACTACAATCGCTTCTTCGGTAAGACGATAAACGACATCCAACAACAATGTCTCTGATCACGAGGTTTTGAAGAATGGGGAACCACCTCTTAATTGCTGGTGTTCCCAGGCCCATCCTGACCCGGGGTAGTAGCACCTGTTAGGGTCCCAGCTCTGAACAAATAGTTAACCCCCAAACTGGAGTCAAAACTCTATGAAAGTGTAAAAATAAGTTTTAATACCAGAAATACTTTGTAACAAAATTTATTACCAGCAATACATTTTTGGGGAAAAAAAAAGATATCACCAGCAATATATTTTTGAAGAAAAAATATTACCAGAAATAACAAATTGTCGGCATTAAATAACCCATTGAGGCTAATAAGCCGTAAAACAAACCAAACCAAACCAATATATCATTTCTCAAAATTGTTTGAGCCGTTCGAGTAGGTAAATGTGGATGATATACTATCATTTCTACAAGAAAATATAAAACAGGAGGGAATAACAATAAAATAAAGTTTTTATAATAAAAATATATATATATATAAATATCTACCAGGCCAGACTATGGATAAAGAACTCATTTTTTCATTCATATGTATTTATATATACAGTAAAATCCCTCATTTCCGGAGTGCCTTATAAATAGAATTCCGCATATCCGGACACGAGTTTCATGTGTATATTTGAATTATTATAACTGATTTGAAATTTCTGTTTTTCAGGAAATTTACTTTGGATAATTGCTTACGTTGATTTCACCCTAATGGCTTGTGTAGATGCAAAAGATGATGGAAATAAAAGGAAAAGATGCAACGAGACACATCTGCAACAAGATAGCGACGAGATGAATGGTTGTGATGAAACCTGGACTAAAATTGAAAAAGCTTTTAAAATGGTTGTCAGTTTTATGGGAAGAAAGCCAGCATTCAGCAATGATGGTTGCAATAACGCACGCAGAATTAAAAAGTGTGTGTCGTTTAAAAAATTTCAAGAACAAAATCATAACGAAATGCGGAAAAAAATATATCTACGAAGCCAGACTCTTGATTAAAAAAATCGCTATTGGCAGAAATAAAACTAGGAAACCGGATATGTGGAGAATTAATATGGCCCACAAGTCTTTATTGAAGGGAAGAGTAATACCGGCAATAAAATTGTCTCTCGACAGAAGCCCTCTTTGCAAAAGTGTTAATGAAACTTGATTTACAAAGTGATTTTCTTACAAAGAATACATTTTTGTTCATAAGTGAATATATATATATATATATATATATATATATATATATATATATATATATTTAAAAAGAAAAACAGACCACTTTAAGGTACCATTATAATAATTTATTTCACCAGATACCCATACGGATTACCAAGTTCTTCATAACTTAATTATATATATATATATATATATATATATATATATATATAATTGTTGATATTAAATAACCCTTTGGGGCTGATATGTCATAAAACAAAACAAACCAAGCCACAATAATACCAGCAATGTAATTGTCTCTCGGCAGAAGACCTCTTTGCAAACGTTAATGAATCTTGATTTACAAAGTGGTTTTGTTACAAAGAATTCTTTTTATTCATATTTCATATATATATATATATATATATATATATATATATATATATATATATATATATATATATAAATCTTATTGGCAATAAATAACCCTTTCATGTCATAAAACAAAACAAACCAAAACTTAATTGGCAAATTATACACCAAGATTAGAAGATTGTATGAATGTTTGTTTTTGTTTTCGAGATAATACAGGGGGAGAAGTGCTGGCTTCATACCTTTCACAAGGTTATTTGCGCGAAAGCTAATATAACGAACCCGACTGGAATTGGAACTTGGCTCACCGATTTCTAACTCGTTATCTAGTATATTACTCGCAATTCCAAGCACCTGGTAATACCAAGAGGTCACTCAGTGCTAATTAGCAGGGTTAACATTGCTTAACTTAATTGACCATACGAGAACCGGTGTTTTTTACGTGATACAGCCGTAAGTCCGACATTAAAACTATTCATCTTCAAGTCTATCCTTCTTATATTCACATCTATCCTTCTTAGCTTCAGATCTATCTTTCTTACCTTCAAGACTATCCTTCTTACCAATAAGTCTCTCCTTCAATTCTATACTTCTGATCTTCAAACTTATTCTTCTTGTCATCAAGTCTATCCTTCTAATCTTCAGATGTATCCTTCTTCTTTTCAGATATATCCTACTTATCTTCAAATATATCATTTTTATCGCCAGACATATCCTTCTTATTTTCAGATCTATCATTCTTATCTTCATATCAATCCTACTTATTTTCTGGTCAACCCTTCCCATCTTCAAACCTACCCTTCTTAGCTTCAGATCTATCCTTCTGATCTTCGTCTATTCTTCTTATATTCAGATCTATCCTTCTTATCTTGGTCTATCCTCCTTATTTTCAGATCTATCCTTCTTATTTTCAGCTCTATCCAACGTATCTTCAAATATATCCTCCTTATCTCCATGACTATCCTTCTTATCTCCAGGTCTATTCTTCCTATCTTCCAGTCTATCCTTCTTATCTTCAAGTCTATCAATCTTATATTCAAATCTGTCCTTCTGTTCTTCAGACTTATCCTTCTTGTCTTCAAGTCTATCCTACTTAGCGTCAGATGTATCCTTCTTCTTTTAAGATCTATCCTACTTATCTCCAAATATATACTTCTTATCTCCAAGTCTATCCTTCTTATCTTCAATTCTATCCTTCCTATCTCCAGACATCTCGCCAAGTATATCGTTCTTATCTTCAAGTCTATCATTCTTATATTCAAATCTATCCTTCTTATATCCAGACATATCCTTCTTATTTTCAGATCTATCATTGTTATTTTCAAGTCTACCCTTCTCATATTCAAACCTATCCTTCTTAGCTTCACATCTATCCTTCTTATACTTAAGTCTCTCCTTCTTATCTTCAAATATATCCTTCTGTTCTTTAGACTTATCCTTATTGTCTTCAAGTCTATCCTTCTTGTCTTCAGATGTATCCTTCTTATTTTCAAATATATCCTTCTTGCCTCCAAGTCTATCCTTCTTATCTTCAAGTCTATCCTTTTTATCTTCAAATTTACCATTGTTCAAGTCTATCCACCTTATCGTCAAGTTTATCATTCTTATCATCAAATCTATCCTTATCATTTTTCCTGCTTCCTTTTACATTCGACTTACACACTTCATTCAATAACGCTCTACCTTGAGTGATGCTTGGACCTTAGTGAAGGGAATGCTGATTTGGATATGCGTCCCATGCAAAATTCGACATTAAATAATGTATTCTGAATGTTCTACGGATCAACAGGCACTTTAAGAAGACTGGAGAGTGCAGCAGTCGGAATATTGTCATAATTACAATAAAGATAAGGACATTAGTGTCACTGTAAATAATGCAAATAATGTAAACCCATCATCACAGAAGTCATATTATTATATAAAATATATTCGAGCATATTTAGCGATTAACATATCTCGTATTGTCTTTCGCATAATGTTTCGATCGCTCTTCCTTCCGGCCTTCCTATTGCATTCGATAACCTTCCGGGAAAGTTTAACCTGACCTTTGATTTGATTTACATGTGTGGATGCTGTTCTTATTTGTCTGACCATATGACATTCATAACCTTTTATTTTACTGCACAACATATCCTCGTACCTGTACAATAGATCTTTCAAGTCAGGTGAGTATGGCACTGAGGCTGACTGGCAACACCTCCGAAGGTAGATGTGCCAAAAGCTGCCTTATCAATATTTCTTGATTGTCTCTTGTACACTTTCTACTTTGGGTTCACCCCAGAGAAGGAAGTCAGGAATCAAATCAGGAAGTGACTTCTAAAATCTACCTCTGTCTCTATATCTCTCCCTACCGATATATATATATATATATATATATATATATATATATATATATATATAGAGAGAGAGAGAGAGAAGAGAGAATGTTATTATTCTTGAAATTATTATTATTCTTCTTTCTTCTTGTAATCTGTTTTTATTATTATTCATCTTCTTCTTCTTCTGGATTTATTACCTGTTTTTCTTCTTCATTTTCTTCTTCTTCTTCTTCGCTGATTTCCTTCCAGCTTTTCTTCTTCTTCTCTTTCTTTTCTTCTTCTTCTTCTTCTTCTTCAGCTGCTGATTTCCTTCATCTGTTTCTTCTTCTGTTTCTTCTTCTTCATCTTCTTTCTTGGCTTCTTCCCTTCTTCTTCTTTCCTTTCTGTTTCATCTTCTTCTTCTTCTTCTTCATCCTGTTTCTTCTTCTTCTTTTCTTTTTTCTTCTTCTTCTTCTTGCTTTAGTTTCCTTCATCTGTTTTTCTTCTTCCTTCCAGCTGTTTCTTCTTCTTCTTCCATGATTTTCCTTCCATCTCTTCTTCTTCTTTTCCTTCATCTTTCTTCTTCTTCTTCTTCTTCTTCTTCTTCTTCTTCTTCCTTAATTTTCCTTCCATCTGTTTCTTCTTCTTCTTCTTCTTGGCTGATTTCCTTCCAGCTGTTTCTTCTTCTTCTTCTTCTTCCTGATTTCCTTCCATGTGTTTCTTCTTCTTCTTCTTCTTCCTCTTCTTGGCTGATTTCTTCCATCTGTTTCTTCTTCTTTTTTTCTTCTTCAATTTCCTTCCAGCTGTTTCTTCTTCTTCTTCTTCTTGGCTGAGCTGTTTCTTCTTCTTCATCTTCTTCTTCTTTTCCTTCCATCTGTTTCTTCTTCTTCTTCTTCTTCTTCTTGGCTGATTTCCTTCCATGTGTTTCTTCTTCTTCTTCTTCTTTTTCTTTTTCTTCTTCTTCTTCTTGGCTGATTTCCTTCCATCTGTTTTTCTTCTTTTTCTTCTTCTTCTTCTTGGCTGTTCCTTCTGTTTTGTTCTTTTTTTCTTCTTCTTCTTCTTCGCTGATTTCCTTCCAGCTGTTTCTTCTTCTTCTTCTTCTTCTTCCTTCTTTCCTTGATTTCCTTCTTTTCTTTTCTTCTTCTTCTTCTTCGCTGATTTCCTTCATCTTCTTCTTCTTCTTCCTGTTTCTTTCCAGCTTTTCTTCTTTTCTTCTTCTTCTTCTTCTGATTTCCTTCCTGATTTCCTTCATTTCCTTGCTGTTTCTTCTTCTTCATCTTCTTCTTCTTCTTCTGATTTCTTCAGCTGTTTCTTCTTCTTCATCATTTCTTCTTCCATCATTTCTTCTTCATCTTCTTCTTCTTCTTCTTCTTCCAGCTGTTTCTTCTTTTCATCATCTTCTTCTTCCTTCCATCTGTTTCTTCTTCTTCTTCTTCTTCTTCTTCTTCTTCGCTGATTTCCTTCATCTGTTTTCTTCTTCTTTTTCTTCTTCTTCTTCTTTGGCTGATTTCCTTCATCTGTTCTTCATCATCTTCTTCTTCTTCTTCTTCTGATTTCCTTCCAGCTGTTTCTTCTTCTTCATCATCTTCTTCTTCTTCTTCTTGATTTCCTTTGTTTCTTCTTCCTTCATCTGTTTCTTCTTCTTCATCTGATTTCTTCTTCTTCTTCTTCTTGGCTGATTTCCTTCCAGCTGTTTCTTCTTCTCATCATCTTCTTCTTCTTCTTCTTGGCTGATTTTTTCCTTCCATCTTCTTCTTCCTGATTTCCTTTGTTTCTTCTTCTTTCATCTTCTTCTTCTTCTTCTTGGCTGATTTCCTTCCAGCTGTTTCTTCTTCTTCATCATCTTCTTCTTCTTCTTCTTGGCTGATTTCCTTCCAGCTGTTTCTTCTTCTTCATCATCAGCTGTTTCTTCTTCTTCATCTTCTTCTTCTTCTTGGCTGATTTCCTTCCAGCTGTTTCTTCTTCTTCTTCTTCTTTTCCTTCATCTTCTTCTTCTGTTTCTTCTTTTGATTTCCTTCTTTTCCTTTCTTCTTCTTCATCGCTGGTTCCTTGTTTCTTCTTCTTCATTTCCTTCTTCTTCTTTTCTTCTTCTTCTTCATCATCTTCTTCTTCTTCTTCTTGGTTTCCTTCCAGCTGTTTCTTCTTCTTCATCTTCTTCTTCTTCTTCTTCTTTTCCTTCCAGCTGTTTCTTCTTCTTCATCTTCTTCTTCTTCTTGGTTTCCTTCTCTGTTTTTCTTTCATCTTCTTCTTCTTCTTCGCTGATTTCCTTCCAGCTGTTTCTTCTTCTTCATCTTCTTCTTCTTCTTCTTCGCTGATTTCCTTCCAGCTGTTTCTTCTTCTTCATCTTCTTCTTCTTCTTCTTCTTGCTGATTTCCTTCCAGCTGTTTCTTCTTCTTCATCATCTTCTTCTTCTTCTTCTTTTGGATTTCCTTCCATCTCTTTTCTTCTTCTTCTTTTTTCTTCTTCTTCTTCTTCTTCTTCGATTTCCTTCCATCTGTTTTTCTTCTTCATCATCTTCTTCTTCTTCTTCTTCGGCTGATTTCCTTCTGTTTTCCTTCTTCTTCTTCTTCTTCTTCTTCTTCTTCAGGCTGTTTCTTCTTCATCATCTTCTTCTTCTTCTTCTTCTTCTTCTTTCCTTCCATCTTTCTTCTTCTTCTTCTTCTTCGCTGATTTCCTTCCATCTGTTTCTTCTTCTTCTTCTTCGCTGATTTCCTTCCAGCTGTTTCTTCTTCTTCTTCTTCTTCTTGGCTGATTTCCTTCCATCTGTTTCTTCTTCTTCTTCTTTTCTTCTTCTTCTTCTTCTTCTTCAGTTCCTTCCAGCTGTTTTTCTTCTTCATCATCTTCTTCTTCTTCGCTTCAGCTGTTTCTTCTTCATCATCTTCTTCTTCTTCTTCCTTCCAGTTTCCCTTCCAGCTGTTTCTTCTTCTTCATCTTCTTCTTCTTCTTCGCTTGTTTCCTTCCAGCTGTTTCTTCTTCTTCATCTTCTTTTCTTCTTCTTCTCATCTTCTTCTTCTTCGCTGATATCCTTCCGGGTTTTCCATCTGTTTCTTCTTCTTCTTCTTCTTCTTCTTCTTGGCTGTTTCTTCTTTTCCTTCCAGTTTAATTTCCTTCCATCCTATTTCTTCTTATTCTTGGTTGATTTCCTTCCATCTGTTTTTCTTCTTCTTCTTCTTCTTCTTCTGATTTCCTTCCATGTGTTTCTTCTTCTTCTTCTTCTTCTTTTTCTTCTTCTTCTTCTTCTTCATGGCTGTTTTCCATCCATCTGTTTCTTCTTCTTTTTCTTCTTCTTCTTCTTCTTGCTGGTTCCTTCCATCGGTTTCTTCTTCATCATCTTTCTTCTTCTTCTTGGTTTCCTTCCTTCTTCACAGCTGTTTCTTCTTCTTCATCTTCTTTTCTTCTTCTTCTTGGCTGTTCTTCTTCTTCATCTTCTTTTCCTTCCATGTGTTTCTTCTTCTTCTTCTTTTCTTTTCTTGGATTTCTTCTGTTTCTTCTTCGATTTCCTTTTTCTTCCTTGGTTCCTGTTCTTCTTCTTCTTTTTCTTCTTTTCTTCTTCCTTTTCTTCTTCTTCTTCTTCTTCTTGATTTCCTTCCATCTGTTTTTCTTCTTCTTCTTCTTCTTCTTCGCTGATTTCCTTCCAGCTGTTTCTTCTTCTTCTTCTTCTTTCTTCTTCTTCATCTTCTTCTTCTTGTTTCCTTCTTGTGTTTCTTTTCTTCTTCTTCTTCTTCTTCTTCGCTGATTTCCTTCCATCTGTTTCTTCTTCTTCTTCTTCTTGGCTGATTTTTCCTTGTTCTTCTTTTCTTTTCTTCTTCTTCTTCAGTTTTCCTTCCATGTGTTTCTTCTTCTTCTTCTTCGCTGATTTCCTTCCATCTGTTTTTTCTTCTTCTTCTTCTTTTTCTTCTTATTCTTCTTCTTCTTCTTCGTTTTCCTTCCAGTTTCTTCTTCTTCTTTTCTTCTTTATTCTTCTTCTTCTTCTTTTTCTTTTCCTTCCTGCTGTTTCTGTTTCCTTCCTTAATTCCTTTCGAGGAAATTCATATTTGCAAAGGAATCGTGACAATAAAAGATGATTCATGCGAGTTTCCAACGGCTGCGGAAATGGCTAATAGTTATGCTTTCTTTCATTAAACACCAAAAAAATGTTCCCCCACCTTCATGGAACAGGCTCCCGAGATCGTGTTTCCCTGAACACTACAACCTTAAACTCTTCATGTCTAGGATCAGCCTTTATATACCCTACATATCATAACAACCTCGCTAAGTAAACCTCTATCTCAAAAATCTTCATCCTAGGAAGGCTCTCGGTCTAGATAAAATCCCAGTGGTTGTCCTTAAGAATATTAACCCTGAGTTAGCCCCGATCATAGAGAAATTATTTAACCGCTGCTTGAAGTAGAAATCTTTCCCAAGTCTGTAGATGGTGTCAATTTTATGCCCAGTCTTCAAGAATGTGGTATAGACCCACCTACCAGAATCCTCAATGTTATTAGCAAATCTTTGTAGCTATAATATAAAAAATGTTGTCGATCACCCCAATAGGGGCGACTTCTTGAGCGACAAATGTACGAATTGCTATTTGGGTCCACTGCTGATATACTGCGCTCTCAGAATCAGTGATACACTAGACAACAAATACATCTAACGAACGATTGCATTAACTTCTCCAGCTATGGAATCACTTGAAGAGTTTTTTCAATTATCTAGTCCTTCCTAACGGGTAGGCCCATGAAGGAAGTTATTAGGGGTCAGTCCTCCGAACCACTGGAAATCAATGCAGGCGTCCTCCAAGACTCGAAACTCGGTTCAACAATCCTTTTACTTTCTACCTTTACACCGATAATTTATGCATATCTATGTTGATGATACAATGGTATATGGGTGTACCTCAAGAACACTAGATAACCAGAGCTTGACAACTGATCTCTGATCTGATTTAGATCTAACAGCTCGATGGGTGAAAACAATCTGGCCACATTCAATGTCTCGAAAACAAATCTATTGCCGTTCCATCATCACCGATTTGGCGCTTGACTCGCAATGAACAAGTGTCCTCTCAGAGAGGACTCGTTCCTTGAGAGCCTGTCAATCCAGAACTTAAAGGTCTATCGCTAAAGGTAATGGAAATTGATTGTTTCCCTGTATCGCTCCAGTAAGCACCTGACGTTACAAGAGCCAGATTAGGCCGACAATGGACTACTGCTATCATATATCGGCATGATGTAATCCAGTCTTCGCTTTCCAGAAAATGGCTATTGCTTTTCATAAATCATAAAAGACTGCTATCTAATCCCGCATTAAATTTATTGATCGGAATCCGACAGAATGATAAGATAAAGAACACACTGGAAACGATTATCAATCTAACATGTCTCACATCTATTAAAACTTCATCAGAGAATGAGATACGGAGAGAAAATAAAAGAAATTCGGGTATTTTTACTTCTGCCCACAAAGGTGGATAAGCCGTAAAAACAAATCAATTAATCAGTCAATCGACATAATGTGTGTGTATGTGTTTGTGTAAGAACTTAAATTGATACATTTTTTTTCTATTGAAACAAAGCGACATAGTAAATGGTAAGGGAGATGCCGGGAAAGATTTCAAGCTGAAAGTTTAGAGTGTAAAGTTGAAATAGTACTTCAAATATTGGTAATTCCTCACAATGAAAAGTATTACAATGTTATTAAGAAAAAAAAAGAGATTGAAGCTCTGACATGCAGGCTTCCTCAACTGCTCCTTCGTTTTTAAAACAATTTAATAGAACAACAAAAGAGATCCAAACTTCGCATAAATTCGAAACTTTAGCTCTATTGATTTTTCTTTCAGTTTAAATTCTACTGACATTCTTCAAAATTCGGTGCTGCTGACGCAATACTATCTTCTTTTTCTTCTTGCCGTGTCCATTCAGGACGTTGTCGATCACTTCTCTCCACAATTTCCTACCATTTGTAGCTCTTAATAAAATTATGACTTTTTGTTATCACTCCTAAATCTTGTTCTACCAACTATTTGCACAAACTTATTCTTTTTCTTGTATGTGCAATTTCCCTTCAGGACGTTGGTGATCATGGCTCTCCAAACTTCCCTGTCTCTTGTACCGCTTCATAATTTTTTGGTTATCTCTCCTAAATATTGTTCTGCCATCCATTTACTGAAGCTCGTTATATAGGTTGTGCGCTGTTTTCCTCTTGTTTTTAGTCCCCTGTGAGTATCAGATTTTCCAAGCCCTCTCTCCTCATTAGGTTGCCTAAAAAATTTAAATGTCTCTTCTTGAATGTTAAGTATAAGCGTCCTTTTTGTTTCCATTTTCTCTAAAACTTCGACGTTGTTTACATGCTCGGCCCTTAATATTCTCAGTATCCTTCTGTAGAACCACATTTTCTGTTGCTTCAAGTCTCTTCTTCATCTGTGAGGAGATTGTTCAGCATTTACTGATATTACATTAGGTTTCAGTATATCTTTCTTTGTTTATAAGGATATTTTTTTTTCTGTTTCTTATAAAAATCCTCGTTAGTAGATAGAAGGTGCGACGGAAATACATCCCATATTTTAAACTATCGCTTCTGTGGTGCTAGTGATCTTGTCAAGGTTCAATGATATCTTCATCCGCTTAATGCCTTACCATTTTGTTTAGATAGCATATATTGCCATCTTGGTTTGAATCAGGACTTACCGTGCCTTTGTTCTTGAGACGTTTTTTTAAGTTTGATGAATCGGTAACACAGAGAGCTTTTCATGCTTAATTAGGAACGATTCTGTTCCAGATAGTAAATCGATACTGCTATGGGTTAAAAATTTCAAGGACACCTTTTCAGTGCTTAAAAGAAAGCCACCTGGAAGACGTCGAAGCGCTCAAATTTCCGGGTGAAGGGAAACTTTAGAAATCGTCTACACGAGTGTATGGCGAATGGAAGCCAACATTTGGAGGCTATGAAATTTAATAACTGAAAGGAATAACAACTACAGACTTTTGTTTAAACAACATAGAAATATTTTTTTAATAGCAGTTAAATTGGTGGTTTTGTCAACCATTAAAATGTGGGCCGTATTTCTACCACACCCTGTATAAGCGCAAAAATCACACCTCTTGTTTCCGCGGAAAAAGTCGAGCCGAAATTCTTACCCAGTCCTGGGTAAGACGATAAACTACATCCGGCAGCAAGGCCTCTGATCAGAAAGTTTTGAGGAGCGTGAAACGACCTCTTAATTGCTAGTGTTCCCAGGTCCACTCTGACCCGGGGTGGTAGCACCTTTTAGGATCCTAGCTATGGGCTAATAGTTAACCCCCAAACTGTCGTCAAAACACTATGAACGTGTAAAAATAGATTTTAATACCAGAAATACTTTGTAAAAAATTATTACCAGCAATAAATTTTTGAAGGAAGAAATTATTGCCATCAATACATTTTTGAAGGAAGAAATTATTACAGCAATACATTTTAAAAAAAAAAATATTACCAGCAATACATTTTTGAAGGAAGAAATTATTACAGGCACAAATTTTTGAAAAAAAAATTTGCAGCAATACATTTTTGAAATAAAGTAACAGTTATACATTTTTGGAAAAATTTGAGAAAAAATATTACCAGAAATAGATTTTTGAAAAAAAAATATTACCAGCAATAAAAATTTTGTCGGCATTAAACAATCCATTGAGGCTGATATGCCGTAAAACAAAATAAACCAAACCAATATATACTGAGATAGATAGATAGATAGATAGATAGATAGATAGATATGAAGAGACCAACAGAGACGTATAGACATGAAGAGACCAAGATAGATAGATAGATAGATAAAATATATTACCATCAATAAAAATTTTGTCGGAATTAAATAACCCATTGATGTTGATATGCCGTAAACCAAACCAAACTGAAACTGAAACCAAATTCTTACCACGCAAGAGTTATTATTATTATTATTATTATTATTATTATTATTATTATTTCAAATCAGTGAACGAGAATTTTCTTCGTGAGGATGGTAGCGGGCGGTGGTAGGAGTTAAAGGGGGCGTCATTTTCTTTAATAGTCAATTATCATTTTTATTCTTCATTTTTTTTTTCATTTCCCTTTCAGAGATTGCTGTACCCAGCATAAAATCCAGCCTGAAATCATTTTGCTAACGCACTCGATTCCCAGATGAGCAAAACTGGCGAGCGCTAACGTTCATTCTGCTCTTAAAAAATAATTTCTGCCTTAATAGCCAATTTGCATTCGAAGATTTTTGAAAATGTTACCTCAATCGGAAGCTTGCCGCCCAAGAAAAGAGCAAAAAAAAAAAACAGATGTCTGAAAAAAAAAAAAAAGAAAAAAAAAAATGGTGGTGAAAAGTACGACTAATTTCACTTCTCATACATTGTCGTTATTTTAATATTAACTTTATTCAGAACAATGGATGAACATAATTTTACTTCCACTTTGTGAGTCATTATATAATTGGGTGTATTTTCCGCCCGGGCTGAGGGCGATGTAGAGCAAGTTTCTAATGCTATAAACTATATCGATGTTCGAAAAAGACTAAAGCTATGATTGAGAATAAAATCGATAGAATGATATGAGCATATTAATACAAATATACACAAATAAGTCGGGAGTACTGTTTAACTTCATAAATAGATTGCAACAGACTGGGATAGATAGATAGATAGATAGATAGATAGATAGATAGATAGACTGTGACAGAAAATGAGTGTGATAAACAGAGGTAGATAGAAAAAAAGAGACTGAGATTGATTGATACATAGAAAGGTAAAAAGATAAAAAAGAAAGAGACTGATGATGGATAGAATTATATATATAATATATATATATATATATATATATATATATATATATGTATATATATGTTTAGAGAGTGCGATGGTAAATTGTTACCAATTTAATTCTCTCTTTTTTTTTATTTTGGCGATTGCACAGTATACTAGGTTCAGTTAGCCGCCATCTGTGAGAAAAAAGAACTCCATGACACAATTCACTCGAGAAATTTGGAAACGGCATAGTGTACTGATGAGCATTCACGCTGGAAGCTCCAATGTGAACATTTTTAGAGTGTTTGGGTGTCAAT